TTTCTGATGTAGAGAATGAAGCTTTTGTCAGCACCAACCCAGGTTTATCAGTAGCTCAATTATTTGAATCCAGCATAAACACAAAATTTATTAATACAACCACTTTACTTGTGGTCAAAGAAAATACTGTAGGCAACTGCAATACCTCTACGTTTTTGATGCCACAATACAGAGGACTAAACACTCATGAAAACACCTGCACGAATGATTTCAAAGCAGTTCTCTTCGACCGCTTTCAGGTCAACCAACATCAAGCACCCAATGGATGTTCTGAAAAAGTTATGAGAAGCAAGACCATAAGGTACTCCTAAATAATTCGTAAAGTGTGATGGTAGATCGTTTTCATCATTCTGATTTGAACTGCCAAACCCATGTTTGGACTGTGATCCCTGTCCATGGCAAACCTCTCTTATAACCTGTAGGTCCGGAAATAGATTAGGTAGTAACGTCGTCAACCGTAGGCTGAAGAACATTGCCGCAGTGCAATCAATAATCGTGCATGAAATCATCCACAAATAGATATTGTCATTTTTAGTCCTAGAAAGCTTGACAAACCACTATCGTAATATGTCTTTGGCGGACCCATGTTCTCTACACTGTATTTAAATTTCTTGTGAAACTATCCAGGAAACAGCCAGTGATAATCAGTGATAATCTCACTCTTAAATTTTAGTAAGACCTACGACATCACACACAAAATTTATTAAAAATGTTTTAGTTTTTATGTATAGGGCCCTTTGTTACTCTTCTTTTACGGAACAATGCCAAATTGTTCACTTTTGCTCTAGCTCCTTTAAGCCTGTGAAAAGCGTCAGCTGGCTTCAACGAAAGTGTGTAATTGACTCATTACTTTACCTTCTTTTTCTCAGTGACATGATCTTATACTTTCAGTGTGATTAACCCCTATTTTCTATTGCATCAGAAGTGGTTCATTTATTTTCATCTACTAAATTTATTTGGTTCGCGTTTTGTCAACGGGAAGTTTAATCCTGACATGATTTGCATTTTTTAATCTTTCACTGTGTCGTTACGCAAAAATTTATCACTTTTGTTCCAAAAAATCTGTCCTGAGATTAACATTCGATAAGTTACATTACATTTTCATTTTATCTGATTTCGCCTGGGCTTACCTTGAAGCTTCCACGGTTTTGCACGTCGAGGCTAGTTTTAGTATATCTTAAATTCCTATGCTACCCACTTTTATCCGTGTTATCCGTTTTGAGCATATTGTTTTTTACGGTATTAAACTATTGGTAGGATTTATTTAACAGCTTATATTTCATCATGATCATCGCAAACATTTGCAAGTAATCTGGATGCCATCTCGATGTCGCCTGTGGCATGCAGTGTGAAAAATACGATGTTTGATTTTACAAAGCACAAGCAGACCTTACAGTTACTGCTTACAACAGACTTAATAAGTCAGATCGCAGGTGGGCATGTGGCACACGCAACATGGGCAATGAGAATTTGTGGGGCAATATCATCATTATACGGGTAGGTGTGAGGGAAAAATTGTCAGAAAATCTGAAAGAGGGTAGTACTCAAACGATAAGTAAACTTTAACGAACAGTGAGGTAAAGAAGAGGTTTGTCAATTACACTAGCACACACAGGACATGCATTAACACAAACGAGGATACACTGAAACAGCACTGCCACAGAGTCGGTGTTAGACTCTCAGTAAACTTCTGTCCCCTAACATGAACTCTGCAAGTCTAACTGTGATCCTCAAAACTTCTACTTTAAACAACTCTACCCTTGTCAACAAGTTTAAAAGGGATCGAATTTTAAAGTCGAAAATGCTGAACAGCACGGGCATTGTACGAAAATTATCCAATGAATCGGTCATGAAATCTATCCCCAAATTTGTTCAACCAGTCAACAAAAAGCACATGAATCCGGATAGTAATCCGACTTTCCAACATAAGGAATTAGCCACAAAGATTTTGGAAACCGGGGATAATAATCACGGTTTGCAATTATTCTCTCTTGACCAAGAACCCCAAACACAGTTATGACCTTCCTCTCCATCTTCAGGATAAGGATGACAAGATGCTTTTGAAGAGTTCAAAAGGAAGCTCAAACTTAGGGAGATTGAGCCACTAACGACAATACATATAGGCCGTACAAACAAACAAGAAACCAAAGCACACGGGGAATAAGAAGAAATATGCTTCACTATCAGATAGAGCTAATTGATAAATTTTTCTTCAATTCAAAAGCTCATTCCGTCATATAGACTCTCTTCAACGATCCAAAACAAGAATCCTCAACCAACAATGACAGTGACACCCAGGCCTTCTGGCAGAACAGTATTTACAAACGTTACAAAAGTTCCATAATAAATTCATCGACAGGGGCCTCACGTCCAACTCAAATGGACTCTGAAGTGCACCTTAGGCGCTGGTTTGTTGTATCAGAGACTGCAGCATCTAAGCATGGACACTTCTCGTAGCCCGGATATGGTTTGTTCTGCTATACTGAGGAAATTGACTCCAAATTTGTCAAAACCGCTTAGCTATACGCTCACGAATTTCATATGCCAAGGCGCGGCGTCACAAAACTGGGAACTGGCTCACGCCTCGTCAGTTTTCGATGCAGGCTGACGTGGCAAATTTTCAAGTCACCGGCTGATAGCGGTTCCCCCAATATCCTCAGAAATTATAGGGTGCATGATATATGATGATTTAGATGACTAACTATTACCTATGAACTTCTTTTCGCCCTTGGAGCACGGTATAAGGGAGGGTCGCTTTCGAATAACCAACATACTGGCTGCGTTGTACAGATGGACCATCATCTCTGATCCAAAGGTGAAATTCGGTGTGATATACCTTGACTTCTCAAAAGGTTTAGATGGTCTCAGTCACATAAGTTCGAGATCGAAAATGGTTACGTAACAGGTCATGGTTAGCTGATTGACTTACCTCACATTTAAGTAGTCGACTTCCAAAAGTTGGGGCGAACTTCACTTTTATCATCCTACGGAATGTACAAGTGGGGTCTCACAGGGTTCAGCATTAGGACCTCTCAGTATCGTCTGATCCACTACCTTTAATCGACGATGTAAAGCTGTGGGGGGAGGTTTTCAAATGTGATGATAAGCTGTCACTTCTGAATGATCTGGCTTGACTTCAAAGTTGTACGGATTAAAACTAAAGATATCATTGTCTGGAGTTATTTGAAGTTGAAGAAGGTACAAAAGTGTTGATGCATTATGATCTGAAATCCTGCGCTAACTGAGACAAGAAACCTTTCGGGTGAAGCTTGCGCATGTAACATTCAAGCGTCGTCGTAGCCAGTTTGACGGCAGAACTTTCCACGTATTCTTCCACAGTGCTGTTAGGCCCCAGCTGGAGTAAGGAAATTTAGTGTTTCCTCCTTCACTCCAAAGGCTAGAAACACATTGGAACGCATCTAACGGAAAGCTAAGAAATCAGTTCGAGAGCTCGGATTTAGACCTTGTAAGGAAATACTCGAATACTCGAATATATATATATATATATATATATACATATAGAGAGAGAGCTTTCACATTTATATTAATTTTTATTGTGTAAACATGTTCCCTACAAACTTCTTTTTGTCGAGTTTTTCTGCTCTTCTTCAGGACTTTCACTACTGTATTCCGAATTGTTTTTCATTAAACTCTTATTCTACTGTCAGTTTTCACCTAGTGTTTTATCATGTGAATTTATTCATTTTTATTTGTGGACTGATGCTCTGTGACAAACACAAAAGCATAAGTATTCACTGAGGAAAGGTTGATGATCACCTCTCCTTAGAATTTCCCACCGTACTTTTCATTATATCTTCGGGCTGTAGAGTGAGGCATCTAATTTTATGAGACCCAGGGCATGCCAATCATATACCAACACACAAAAACCATGGACATTTGTCTGACGTTGTATCTTACTGAGTACTAATACTCTGTTTAGAAACCCATCTTCTATACTATTGTAATTCACAATATTGCATCGAGGCCTAACCCTCAGTTCATATGTTGTAACCGTATTTGACGTGAAACGAAGGATAACGAAAAGCAGTCGATAAAGAACAACAAGGCTATTAACGTTTCTAAACACTATTTTTTTTGTGACATACTTTCTATCTAAATGAATGGTCTCCAATTCTCTAATGTCAAATTTTCCTCTGTAGCTTTGTCTCCTTACAACCTTTTAGCAGTCGCAACATATTGTTCTTTATTGCTGTGCTCTTTAATCTGAAAAATCTTCAAATACAATCCATTCTAGCGATGGTAAAGTTTGTGAATTTTATCATACCATAAGTTTATCTGTTTCTCTACAAGTGGTTGAACATTGTTGAGTGGTTAAATTCATTTAACTTATAGATTATCCTTTGTTGTTGGATTGCACCGCCCGTGCAGCACACAGCCACAAAGCTTCTTCTAAACCCTGAAACAGTAGCCCAACATGCACGTCTGCCACTTAGGTCAAGCGCCTTCTAATAATCGCTTCATAACAACGGTAAGCTCATTAAACTGTTTCACAACACATCTGGTAAATCGTCATGAACATTTTGCAGTAGGTCTTCACGATGTATCAATGTCACCCCACAACAACTTTTATGGGCTTAAACCTAAATTTATGACATCTATTGATGTGACGGTCAGAACACCACACTGTGCCTTAAGTTATTCAGGGGCGACTAGACACTAGATACTTTGTGCTTTTCCGATATTTATTCAAATTTTAGCTTCGTCTCTTGTCCCTTCTCTAAATATCTTCAACTTTTTATTAATCCCAGTACACTTTTGTCTTCACCAACCGAACAGTTATCAAGTCATGTGGTAATGATTGATTAAATTGTCTTCAACACACATTGGATGTAAAAGTAAGATACATAATGATCCCTCGAATAAACAATGAGCGTTGATGTATGTCTAACCAAAATAACTAAATGTGTGCTGCTAGCCATCTCGAAACGTTTCTTAAAATAGGGTGACGAGCTAGTAAAAAGCGATTTGTTTATATTTACAAAACAGACGAATATTTAGCAACGACTAAATTCAAATAAATCGCCTTGAGAAACGCTCAAGGTCGACGAGACGTCAGTGTATTTAGTGTGAATTACTTATGTTGGATTATGTAGAAAAGTTAAAAAATTGTTTTAACAAGTCTATGCTTTCTCATGTTCATAATTAATAAGACGTGGAAGTGCTTTTGTTCCAGCCCATTAAATCAAATACTCGACCAAATCTTCAATTTCGCTGTTCTGAAACAAAGGACGAATGTGAAGCGCTGTGAACTTATTTAGTCCAAAAACAAAGCTCTACAATTAGAATTATAAGTATGCTTTAGCTCTGCATTCTATGCTCAGTGGTCTCAAAATACCAGAGCAATGCTTCGGACATATAGTTATAAGTAAACGTAATCCGTAGATTATTTGAAGATATTTGGAATATAGTATATTCCATTACATTGAAATAAAGCAATTGTAGTTCCCGTCTTTAGAAAGAACCGCGTACTTAATACAAATCTGCTCCCAAACTATTGGCTTCTATCACACTCCTCAGAATGTGTGTCTCTAGTGAAAAGTGGGCTCATGAGAAACAGTTCGGCTTCCCGTTCAGGTTTTGGATACATTGATGACATTTTCACCTAACACAAAATGTTGGGGCGTCGCAACACTTGTTGCAAATCAACAATTGTTGTGCTTATTTACATCAGGCCCATCCGCGAATTGTTGAACAGCGACTAAAGATAATTCATCTTGAGTGTATGTTTTTCATTGAACTGTGTCGTTTACTGTAAACTATTTACAATTACTGATGGCACAACACTTCGCTTGTCCGAACATTTTAAGGACTTTTAATACCTGACAGGTTTATCGACCTAGATGCTTCTAGTGACTTCTGGAATTTCAAAAACAAGGAGTATATTATATTTTAAAACATGCTAATAATTGTATTGTGTTACGAAGCAAAATAGTACATAGTTCACTATTAATATTCCTTATCGATTGTCCATGTATTTACGACATTGTAGTTGGTTAAATCAGTTTCTCTGCATTTACAATAATGGAGTGATTTATCAATAACTGGTTCGCTTGATGCATCATTTTAACGTGTACAAATCTATAATATACTCAAACATGGAAAACGAGGTATTACCGAACAAGCCATGACTAGTCGAAGATTATTTAGTTATTTTTCTTCATCCAATAGTAAGAATAGTAAAAGATGTTCTGTAAAGTCTTATCTGCAGAATCCAGTTGGTAGTGCCTAAATACCAACTAAACGTCCTCCTGTATTTATGTGTAGTGTTTCATTCACTCTTATTTAGTCCAACCGATGCATAAAAAAGAACTGACATTTTGACGAAACGACTTCACGATGTCAATTATTGTCATGTAAAATTTCGATTCACAATATGGTTTTTGTTCGTCTTGTTTAAAAAAATTAGAAATAACTAGTGACTTCGTGCATTATTAGGACGGCTCAGGGGTTTTCGTTCTGATTTTTTGACTTTCCTTCAACAATAAAATCAATTTGTAATTACGTTAATGCTTAAAGCGCAAAGTTGTTGTATTTCAAAAAAGTTTGTTTAAGACCATTTTGCTTTGTGTACGTTGTGTAGATGTTTGTAACGCTGATATTTTGTTGGGGCTGGTAAATTCGCAAATGCCTGTCTGCCTAAAAGTTACTTCGAGGTATTTTCGTTTACATACTTGATAGACATTTAATATCCCATTATAAGCTGTCCAAGTAAACTTTCGAACAATTTTTCTACTACTAATATACTGGTAATGTGTTTCAGGCTACATTGACTAGCTCAAACCTGACTAAAATTAATGGTATTCAAAGATCAGTAAATCAAATGGATCAAAACCCTTTGTTACTGAAAATACAGAGGATCGTAAATGGAATGCCAGAGAATGAAGGGGTAATCTTATTATTTATTGTAATGCTTTGTAGCCGTTACTAAATGGACTAGACTCTATTTTTCCTCTCATGGCAAACAACTCCATTAGCAATCGCAGGACCCTTCGTAGCAATTTGGAAAAAATTCAGTTAAATTACTATCAAGATCTTCTAACATCGTTTGGTGATGTTAAGAAGGTATGTTGTTTTCATCTTTTCTAACTCACAGTTTTCAGCGTCTAGACTCTCTAGATACTTGTATAAACAGTATTTTAGAAACATGCCTTAGAATGAATGGAACATTGACTGTAGGTTCCTTTGAGTTTTATCACCTCATTAACTAAGTCTGTTAAATCGGAGACGGTATGTTTAGTGGAAGAGGCACAACAGTTGAAATCTGACAGGTAAGCCCTTTTAAGCATCCTATCTTTCGTTGCGATTCATTTACAGTAAAGTGGCGGAGATCAAAGCTTATTTACTGGAACTGTTAGTTGGCTCATACCAAATCTCTGCAAAAGATGCACAAATATTGTCCTCTAAAATTAGCCATGCAGATGACACTTTTTTTTCAGCTCTTTTACGTGGCAAAGAAATAAAAAAGATGTGTAAAGATTTATTGCAGTCAAACGAATTAACCCTCAGGTAACATAACTATGGTTCTTTTATTCTTTAGCTGCTCACTGATGAATGAAGCAACAGAAATTTTGGACACGGCATATGAAAATCTTTATGAATGGGTTCAAAGTAAATCATTTCACTTTTCCTAATCCCTCGATAGATGAATGCATGAAACAGGTTCAAGAAACACCTGAAATATCTCCCTATCTTCAACGTGCTTTGTCAGAATTACAAAATAAACCAGTTCTTCTAAAGTAAACACTTAAGCCTATTAGTTTTTATACTCTAAGCAAAGTATTAATTTCCTCTGATATTCTTATCACTTTTTGTCCGGAAGATATGTTCCATTATGAGAGTTGGAATGTGATTTGTCAGAGCTAGTGTAGCGATTATGTTTAATTCATTTTTAATATCGATTAGTATTCCGTGTGCTTTAACAGGTTGAATGTTTGGAATAAACAGTCGCCTTATCGGAGCTAAGTCTATCCTTACCAGTGGTTGGTAATTTTATTTTGTCGGTTGGATGTTCATAACAGCTGTCTGACTGTCTGTTAAAGACTGTGATGTTCATTTCATTTTGGTGCATATTTACAATGATCTATACTGTCACTCTTTTAACAGATCTTGAAATTAAATACATCGTGTAGAATGCAACTCAATTTAAGCAAACTTTAATATTTTCAGTCATACATCTGCTGGCATAATTTGAGTTTTCAAAAAGTATGACTAACTTGTAATGTGATTAGTCCTTATCTTTAGTGTTACTTCTGCCTTCATGATTTTTTAATACGGGGCGATGTCTTAATCGTTAAAGTCATCAGTTTTCACCTGTTTGGTTTCAAGTCCTAGCTCCATAATACCTAGTTTATCCTCGGCAACTGGGTAGTATCTATAGCCTCTACAAAAAATGTATCTCAATTATGAAAGTACGAACCCGTATATAATTTACATTAATCTCAACTGTTTTTCATCTCAATATATATATTCAGCGTAGTCTTTTCTCAAGAATCCAGCTAAAAGTTAGTTATCCTAGTAAAGAAGAACGGGAGTCATCCAGGGATTGATTATTCATAACCGTACATGTTGTTTTGGATAATAGCACGAAGACGTAACTTCACCATGTGGTTAGTTAAATAGGAAGTTTCCCTCGATATTAATTAAAAGTATGCAGATCAGGAACGACAAATAGTGTTCGCTCAAACAAACAATATTTCACATGTTTTTTACAAGAATGGCGCTGAAACTTTTAGTCATTCTACTTTATCTAAATTCTCATTTGTGGTTCGCTTTTAGTGTTAACTTTCTAATATTATGATCAATGGAACAAAAAACATCAACACATTTCATACATAAAATTTTAGATGTGTCATCGGGTTTGGAACATTTGAATGATTTCAGTAACTCAACATCTTTTAAGATGTCATTTTTTACAAACCTCGGAATGAAACCAGTTTGACTAAAAAAATTATTAACGATAACATTACTAGCAAATGTCTATATTGTTTTGCGCAAGTAAGTCTTGCAAGGTAAAAGTTATTGGGCGTGCTATACCGCCATGTGTCCACCAAGAAATCAATATCCTCAGACATTTTTGTGGTGTTAGGACGATATGTACTAAGAATCACGAAATTATAAAGATATCAAATCTTCATCTTGGAGGTCATGTAGCAACAATTTAATTCAATTATACTACAGGTTCGAGATGTATATGAACCGAAAAGACTGGCTGTAATCTTTTTTTTCTACCACAGTTCTGGTAAGCTTCTAAACTTTATGGAATCTCTATTTCCTTAGACCGATCATCATAATTATACCTTAGGTAGGTAGTGAGAAATCGGTTTTTATTTGCAGTTCGTCCTAATGTCCTTCTAGTTGTTTAAGTTTAGCTTTTTATATATGGGTTAGCGTTATTTAAACAATTTGACAATATGTAGTAGATTCTACTCTAAACACAGTTGTAGAAACAACCGTGGGATCATACATTTAAATTATTAATATTTAAGTTGACGGCAAACTTGTGTAATAATATGTGGATTATTTAACAACACTTTTCCGGTTTACACTTCTACCGACATATCAGTAACCAAAATCAAAATGTAGGCTGCTGTCTTCATATCATCACTGACCTGTATTTACGATATTCTTTCATATTGTTATGATGTATACTTAAAATAAATTTAACTCAGCATAGTCTTAATTCTGCAACTAGTGTTCCTAGGTGTAATATGTTAGATCGAAATTACATCAAATTCTATTTTTTCAAAATAATGTGTTTGCATTTATTTATTTATTTAAACACATATATATTGGTACAAAAGGGCACCAGATACATATGCGTCACACAAAATAATGAAACTAGGAAGAGAAGGGATGAAAAGATAAGGCGGACTGAGATGTACAACCAGAAAACTCTTTCAGTTAAGAAATTTAGAACCACTCTTTATGTAGAAAGTAAAAGAAGGTTGCAGCAGGTTCGCCACTGGCTTCTATTCTGAGCCATATCTGATAACGTCTCTAGCCACTGTGTTGCACCATCTCTCGGACCCCAGCCAGGGAGTCGTGAAGGACCAACAGAAGCTAGCCCTTTGCAGCTTTCTTTCATACCACGACACCATGTCATACACTGACAACCTCTCTGCTTTTTCAAACCAGTCCCAGAGTTGGCGAATAATGCACGACGTGGAAGTCTCCGGGACGACATTCGTAGAACATGTCCAAGCCACCGAAGTCGGTGTTTCAAGATGGTGACACCAATTGAATTATCGTCTCTGCGCTCGAGCACACGATGCCGAACCACTGCATTACTAACATGGTGTTGCCACTGTATATCAGCAATCCTTCGGAGACAACGATGATCGAACACAGAGAGACGTCTAACATCCCCAACTCGGAGAGGCCAGGTTTCACAAACATAGAGCAAAACTGCTCTCACCGACGCGTTGTAGATCCAAACTTTTACAGCCAGACTAACATCACGAAGGCGCCAAAGATGGCCCAGATTAGCATAAACCGCTCTGGCTTTCATTATACGTGCATCAATCTCATCACTCACGCCACCACCAGCACTTATGCAGCTACCTAGATACACGAACTTCTCAACTACTTCAATCTGTTCACCGCGCAGGGTGAGTACAGGATTAGAATCCTGCCAGTCTTGTAGAAGCACTTTCCACTTCGAAGGTGCGAAACACATACCGTACCTATGGACACTGATTGCCAACTGATTAAGTGCTGATTGCATGGCTTGGGCATTATCGCACAGTAAGACAATATCATCCGCATACTCGAGGTCGAGAAGTCTTTCTCCAGGCAGCAGATCCACACCATCATTACTTACATCCATCAGAGCTGTTTCCAGGATGTCGTCGATGGCAAAGTTGAAGAGGAATGGTGAGATTGGGAAACCCTGCCTAACCCCACTGCTCGGATGAAACAAGGGAGAGAGGTGGTTGTATGCCCTCACTCTGCCTCAGGTGTTCGTATACAGGGCCTTTAAGATATAAATGAACTTCTCAGGCACACCCTTCTTCAATAGACAATCCCAGAGAACCGTCCTGTCCAACGAATCGAAGGCAGCCCTGATATCAAGAAACACTACGATTGTTGGCCTGCGATAAGTATGACGGTGTTCTAACATTTGGCGGAGGGTGAAGATGTGATCAATGCATCCTCGACCAGAACGAAAACCAGCCTGCTCCTCGCGAGTCAATCGTTCTCGGGTTTTAAACAACCTACGAAGAATGATAGAAGCCAATAGTTTGGACGCAATCGGAAGTAGACTTATCCCCCGATAGTTGTTACAGGAACGACGTGAACCCTTTTTAAAGATAGGGACGACGATTGACTCATTCCTTGATGTTGGAACACTTTCTTCCTCCCAAACCTTTGCAAACAACACCGTCAGTTCCTTAGCCAGAGTTGGAGTTCCTTGCGGACTTCCGCCTCGTTTGGTGGATCAGTCGTCACCGGCCATGGAGGGCAGGACAAACTGGTTGATGTTGCCGGAGCAGCAGGCCAGTTGAACTGCCCTTCGAAAAATTCCGCCCATCGTCCAAGACGTCGAGAGATGTTAGTGATTGGCATCCTATCATCCTCGTAGATTGTTTCACTCACACCAGACTTCTTGCTGCCAGTGGCTCGGATGAGTTGGAAGAGCTTCCGGCAGTTACCAGATGCAGCTGCTGCTTCCATCTCATTAGCACGCTCCGACCACCAGGCTTCTCGGTCCTTACGCAAACTTTGCCCGATTTCATTACGTAACAGCCTTCGTTTGTGGTCAAACTCACGGTCACCCAGAGTAGACCGACGGGCTTCGATCAGTTGTAAGGAGCCAGAAGAAACCCAGTGCTTGTAAGCGGGACGTTTCTAAAGACATAGCCAGCCCCATCTGTTGTCCGATCTGCATTAGTGTGCGAACGTTGAAGGAAGCCAGCTTGAACGGCGTACGTGGTTTCAGAAAGACTGCTTCAGTATTCGTAATCGATGGAAGCATTCACTCTCAACCAGACAGTGACTGGAGATCGTTTAGATAGGACAGAGTTTCCACCATGGGCGAGCTACTGCATAAGTTGGAAAGGAAGGATACACAATTTGGGAATAAAGGGAGTGAAAAAGCGACGTAGTAAATAATAATAATAATAGTGTAAATTGTCTTACTTCTAGTATGAGCGAGAATAGTATCGTCAATAGAATTCATCATTTTATTTATTTGTGTGTGGGCTGTGATACTGCCCGGGTGCCCAAACTGAAGCAGGTGGTTTTCTTAGGGGACCACACCCGGAGCCTTTGACCTAAAGGTCTGATCCACAAGGCAGTGGGGCATCGTGAGGAGATGCAGTCCCATGGTAGCCGGTGACCAACGGTTGGTTCTTACGCCATTTGTTCCCTCAGGATACTGGAGCCCATGTGCACCATTGGTTTGGAATCAGGGTTTTCCAACTCCCCTAGGTGGACCCTCCGTTTCCACCAACCCGGTTAAAGCGCCATACATTCGCTTTTCGTCTTCTCGCTTTCGTGAACAACACCCCCGCCACGAGAAAGCAGTGAGTAGGACTTCCCTGGCAGAGGCTGTATATTCGCTGGCCATGTGAGAGCATTTGGAGAGGGAGAGTGGACTCTCCCCACTCTCGGCCGTACCAGGGCATTTGGGGGCATGTGTTTGCATAATTTTACATAAGTAATGATAATAGTCCCTTCTGGTAAACTTTGTAGGTCACTAGGTGTTTAAGCTATGTATGTGTCCCATATCTAAATGAAGCTGTTTTTTTGTTCCTTATTCAATCTTGGTCCTTTGTTCTGTGTTTCATATTTTTTTAGAAAAATGTCACTAACTAGTATATCTAACATAATATTTAAAAACTATTCTTTCTTTGCCAATACAGGTATGCTCTTGATGAATACGCTGGTGCTCGTCGCAAGGCTTCTGTTAAATCTTTTCTTGATGTTCTCACAGTTGAACTTGACTCGAATTCCACTGTCAGGAATCATTCTGTTGGCACAGTTTATACGATGGACATAAGAGAAAAATCACGTGATCATGGACGACTTGTGAGTGATGTACTTGCTTGTGTTCATCAAATTACAGCATCGGAGAAAGAGTATATAAATAGTTTATCCAAGGACTGTCACGATACACGTATGAATACTTTGTATTTCTTGGTTAATTTATTATGATTCATGTTTGTTTAACAATTGTGTCTAGACTTACAGCCTACAGCTTTCTTTCGGAGCCCGGACTAGTGTTGAAACGGTGATATGTCCGTCTCAAAACATTGAGGTTCATAGCCTCATTGCTCCAGAGTTTATTTATACTTCTCCGTAATCCCATAGGGCTCAAATATGACACCAAGATAGGTCCTCACTACTAGCCTGATTTTCATTGGATTTCGTTTCACAATCCATGAGTACTGAATAATTCTAAAAGTCAACAAGATTGTTGATAATCACCAGTTCAGTTTTTCTTCAATTAAATTAAGTTTAGGATACAATTGTTTATTAGTTTAATCGAGGAGGCTATTTCTCTCAGTCGATTCTGTGAAATGCGTCCACATGTTGTCTTCATGTATCAGAGAAGCTGATGACTACATGAATTATTAACCAAGAAATAAAAGTGTTTGTGGACTGTCTTCTTTGAAAGGGAAGAACTTTCACAAAAAGCTGAAAATAAAATTTGAAATAATAAACAAAATTTTTACCACAAAACTCATAGATAACTCAGAATATTGCCTGTTTTATTTTACCAGTCTCAAGTTTAACCGAACCGAAAACGTGTTAATTCCATGCCACATCTCAATATATCTCTTTCAATGCGCAAGATAAATATCAAAGTTCCGACATTACAAATAAACTGTGCTCAGTTCTCTGCAGTTTACAAACTTATCAGAAATACCACTTCCTATATTATTTGTTTATGTGAATACATAAAATTGGTACAGAGGCACCAGATACACATGCGCCACACAATAACAATGAGAATGTGAAGAGATAAAGAATGTAAGGTGCGTATAAGAAAAAGAGGAACAATAACGAACAGAAATTAGTGTATGATAGTGAAACAATAATAATGGTATAAGCAGTTCAATCAGCAAAGGTACAACCGGAAAGAATTCTTCCACTTGAAGAAGTTACATCCATTTTTTATGAAGAAATTACAACAAAGTTACAGCAGGATCTCCATTGGTTTCTATTCTACGCCATATCTGATAATGTTGCTAGCCACTGTGTTGCACCCCAACCAGGGATTCGGGAAGAACCAACAGAAGCCAGCCCTTTGCAGCTTTCTTTAATACCACGACACCATGTCATGCACTGACCACCTCTCTGCTTTTTCAAACCAGTCCCAGAGTTGGCGAATAATGCACGACGAGGAATTCTCTGAGACAACATTCGTAGAACATGTTCAAGCCACCGAAGTCTGTGTTTCAAGATGGTGACACCAGTTGAATTGTCGTCGCTGTGCCCGAACACACGATGCCGAACCACTGCATTACTAACATGGTGTTGCCACTGTATATCAGCAATCCTTCGGAGACAACGATGATCGAACACAGAGAGACGTCTAACATCCCCAACTCGGAGAGGCCAGGTTTCACAAACATAGAGCAAAACTGCTCTCACCGACGCGTTGTAGATCCAAACTTTTACAGCCAGACTAACATCACGAAGGCGCCAAAGATGGCCCAGATTAGCATAAACCGCTCTGGCTTTCATTATACGTGCATCAATCTCATCACTCACGCCACCACCAGCACTTATGCAGCTACCTAGATACACGAACTTCTCAACTACTTCAATCTGTTCACCGCGCAGGGTGAGTACAGGATTAGAATCCTGCCAGTCTTGTAGAAGCACTTTCCACTTCGAAGGTGCGAAACACATACCGTACCTATGGACACTGATTGCCAACTGATTAAGTGCTGATTGCATGGCTTGGGCATTATCGCACAGTAAGACAATATCATCCGCATACTCGAGGTCGAGAAGTCTTTCTCCAGGCAGCAGATCCACACCATCATTACTTACATCCATCAGAGCTGTTTCCAGGATGTCGTCGATGGCAAAGTTGAAGAGGAATGGTGAGATTGGGAAACCCTGCCTAACCCCACTGCTCGGATGAAACAAGGGAGAGAGGTGGTTGTATGCCCTCACTCTGCCTCAGGTGTTCGTATACAGGGCCTTTAAGATATAAATGAACTTCTCAGGCACACCCTTCTTCAATAGACAATCCCAGAGAACCGTCCTGTCCAACGAATCGAAGGCAGCCCTGATATCAAGAAACACTACGATTGTTGGCCTGCGATAAGTATGACGGTGTTCTAACATTTGGCGGAGGGTGAAGATGTGATCAATGCATCCTCGACCAGAACGAAAACCAGCCTGCTCCTCGCGAGTCAATCGTTCTCGGGTTTTAAACAACCTACGAAGAATGATAGAAGCCAATAGTTTGGACGCAATCGGAAGTAGACTTATCCCCCGATAGTTGTTACAGGAACGACGTGAACCCTTTTTAAAGATAGGGAAAATTATCGACACAAACCAAATGAAATGACAGTTACTACTGGAAATACCACTTCCTAGCTGAATGTCAGATTACTAGATACTTGTTTCTTATTAGTCAGAATGGGGGTATTCTTTTCTCCGACTAATTTCATTCCAGAATGTTAAGAAATTCTGGTTATGAGAAGTTTCCAAATTCAAATAAGGATAACTTAGTGTGCTCAGTAATAACATTAATAATAGTAAGTAATAGTATGTAAGCTTGGACTATTCGCGGTCGCTGAATCTAAAACGTAGGGTGAAGACACGAAGATGATAATTTTGGATTTAGACGTAGTAGGTGAAAATACCGAGTTGATTGATCTGACTATAAAACTTCTTCTATAAGGATAGTTAGGAGTCGTCTTATGATTTTCTATTCGTGGCCTACTCTGATATACAGTACCAGCTGGCATAGGCGTAAACTACGGACAGCTAACAGATCAAGACTCATCCTTAATTAATCAAGTCTTTGACTGATGGTCTAAAAGATGTAGGTTTCGACACTTAGCTGGAACTTGCGCATGATTTGTTATCAGGGCTTGGAATTATTACGCGGCATATATAATAGTTGGTCGCGGTGGTGAAGAATTATTTTTTTTATCTTTTTTTGCTCCTGTCTATATTATTCTATGATTTCTATTGCATGTTTTCATTTCTTGATTCATACTTTTATGTTTTCCAAAATCATATATACCTCGATCATTTTGCTACTCATCCTATTAATTGTATCTGGCTACTGATATAGTTTGTTAACTTGAACCGAAGGATATAGCTGCTAGGTTCTATATAGTATTGACTGACTAATAACTCGTCCCTTTGAACTATATTAATTGGTTTTTGATTTTTTCATTTTCTTAGTAATTGCAGACTTGAAGATCATTTGTTTGGATACAATTACCGAGAGTTTATGCTCTCACCTTAAAGTAAGTTTGTCATTACGTCCGATCGGAAGGCTCTTATATGTTTTTTTTCACCAGCTGCTTTAGTATTTTTATCTATTATACCGCCAGTATCATCAGTCCTAGCAAAAGTGTGACTCAAAGACAAACGCATTAAAAATTATTTGGTAAATTAGTTTTATCTTTAAGTTAAGTGCATATAGGAGTTTCTCTTCATGGTTATGCTACTCCCAGAACTTTATTTGTTATTTCATCTCTGTGTAGTAAAGGCGGTAACATAAATTGTGATTTTATTGTGAATTGTTTATGTGCAATTCTTTGTTATGCATAATCGACTGTAAAAGTGGGAACATAATCATAGAACTGGTAAAAATTCAGTTTTGAATATCAAAATTGTGATAACTCCAACACATACTAATATTGATATAATTATCATACACATTGAACAAGTTAATGTTAATCTGAACTCAACAAACCAATGGATAACACGCTGGGAATTCGAGGTAATGCTACTGCATTTGAATACGGCTATGAATACCAACATTGTGATCCAAGTACACCCAGCTGACAAGCCCTAAATGGAACGAAACACGCATTTAGGATTCCAATGCTAGGAAAAGTTCCTCTACTTTAAATAATCAGAATGGTTCAGATTACTTCATCTTACTTTCTTACTGGTACAACTGGGAGAAATTCTATCGATGTCTCATGTTTGAGAATGTAATCTACTCCTTGCTTTTAAAATTCAACTTACGCCTGTTACCCCTTGTGAAGAAGCATAGGCCGCTCACCAAGATTCTTCACCGAACCCTGTCCTGAGCAATCCTTTCTGGTTGTTTCCAGTTGCCATGCATTCTTCTGATGTCCGCTTCCATTTTTTGACGCGATGTTTTCCTCGGTCTTCCTCTTTCCATTTTCTCTTCAGGCATGCAAGTTAGGGCTCTCCTTGTGGTACAATTTATGATTTCCGCAATGTATATCCTACTCACCTCTGGTGTCTTTTCCTAATTTCCTATCAGCTGGAAGTTGGTCCATTCTCTCCCACAGTAGATTATTGCTGATAGTATCCGGACAAAGAACATTGAGTATCTTGCGTAAACAATTGTTTATAAATACTTGGACTTTTCTAATAATGGTTGTAGTAGTTCTCCAAGTTTTGGCTCTATACGATAGAACTATCTTGACGTTCGTATTGAAGATTCTCACTTTGATATTGGCTTGGAGACAGTTGTTTTGAGTTCCATATGTTCTTCAACTATAGGAATGCGGCCCTTTGCCAATCCTCGCCTTTACATCTGCATCTAATGCTTATTTTCACTTGCTTGCTCGCTTCTATGTATTCGGTCTTTGCCTTGACTTTCACTGTTCTTGTCCGACTGTTGTTAACTGCTGTCTCGCTTCTATGTATTCGGTCTTTGCCTTGACTTTCACTGTTCTTGTCCGACTGTTGTTAACTGCTGTCTCCTCTTGAATCCTGTCCAAGATTTCGATAGATCCATTCTTCATGACGATGCTTCTTGCAGCCCAGCACATGGCACTTTGAAGTTAGTGCTTATATGATACCTTCCCAGTTGTTCTCCATCTTGGTTTCCTCATCTTAAACAAACTTTTTTGAAATACAACAACTTTGCGCTTTAAGCATTAACGTAATTACAAATTGATTTTATTGTTGAAGGAAAGTCAAAAAATCAGAACGAAAACCCCTGAGCCGTCCTAATAATGCACGAAGTCACTAGTTATTTCTAATTTTTTTAAACAAGACGAACAAAAACCATATTGTGAATCGAAATTTTACATGACAATAATTGACATCGTGAAGTCGTTTCGTCAAAATGTCAGTTCTTTTTTATGCATCGGTTGGACTAAATAAGAGTGAATGAAACACTACACATAAATACAGGAGGACGTTTAGTTGGTATTTAGGCACTACCAACTGGATTCTGCAGATAAGACTTTACAGAACATCTTTTACTATTCTTACTATTGGATGAAGAAAAATAACTAAATAATCTTCGACTAGTCATGGCTTGTTCGGTAATACCTCGTTTTCCATGTTTGAGTATATTATAGATTTGTACACGTTAAAATGATGCATCAAGCGAACCAGTTATTGATAAATCACTCCATTATTGTAAATGCAGAGAAACTGATTTAACCAACTACAATGTCGTAAATACATGGACAATCGATAAGGAATATTAATAGTGAACTATGTACTATTTTGCTTCGTAACACAATACAATTATTAGCATGTTTTAAAATATAATATACTCCTTGTTTTTGAAATTCCAGAAGTCACTAGAAGCATCTAGGTCGATAAACCTGTCAGGTATTAAAAGTCCTTAAAATGTTCGGACAAGCGAAGTGTTGTGCCATCAGTAATTGTAAATAGTTTACAGTAAACGACACAGTTCAATGAAAAACATACACTCAAGATGAATTATCTTTAGTCGCTGTTCAACAATTCGCGGATGGGCCTGATGTAAATAAGCACAACAATTGTTGATTTGCAACAAGTGTTGCGACGCCCCAACATTTTGTGTTAGGTGAAAATGTCATCAATGTATCCAAAACCTGAACGGGAAGCCGAACTGTTTCTCATGAGCCCACTTTTCACTAGAGACACACATTCTGAGGAGTGTGATAGAAGCCAATAGTTTGGGAGCAGATTTGTATTAAGTACGCGGTTCTTTCTAAAGACGGGAACTACAATTGCTTTATTTCAATGTAATGGAATATACTATATTCCAAATATCTTCAAATAATCTACGGATTACGTTTACTTATAACTATATGTCCGAAGCATTGCTCTGGTATTTTGAGACCACTGAGTAAGTAATGCAGAGTTTAAGGATAGAGTGCCAGGTAAAGATGAAAATTCGATTAGTGAGGTAGTAAACTTTATTAACTGTAGTGGTTAGGACATGTATTACGTATGCCCAACTACCGCCTATCGTCACGGTCGATATTGTGTGATGTAGCAGTAGGTTGAGATGGAATTAGTTGTAGTTAAACGAAGACGTGGCACCAATGCATGAAGTCGCGGGCATTTAGTTTGAGCTATGTTAACAGGTGATAGACTACCTAGTTGGTGTCCGCGTGATTATTGTAACCAAATTACAAGAAGCTTTGTATGATAAGGCTGAAAATCGTTCTCAATGGCGGAGGTACATTCACTCCTTGTCATCATTTAGAACCATAGTCCCAAAATCTCTCCATATCTTTTTTCTTCTTCTACACTTGCCTTTTTTTACTGTCACTACGTCTGCTATGGGATTCATCTCGAAGTAATTTTATCTCGCTGCGCTAATGTCGTATGGGGACGTGAAATGATGTATGTCAGGTTTTACGTTGGTCATTATGATGATAAATTCGTGTCCATCACTGAAAAAGTCAAGAGTTGGTTGTCCGTTACTTTTGACATAAAATACTTCAGAATTTGAAATTGTTTACGGACCTACGATCCGTTGGTTCACTGAGCACAAGACGGTTCGACCAACGTTCCTGGGTCAACGTACTGGTGCAATTACCTATGAAGTCCTGTGTCCAGCGTTGGAGACCCCCTTGAAGGTTACTTACTGGTGTGCTACCGACCTTAAAATCTTCACTGACAAAAGACTTCTTGCTGATAGTGATTCAGATTAGTTCTTATTAGGGCAATCCAGATAAGTACTCCTAAATGAACAGAAGTTCTTCATATAATCGGGGAATCAGTGGCTGATCATAATATGATCAGTTTGAGTCAAGGAATAATTTACAGATGCTGAGAGACCAAGTAGAACATAGGCACAGTCAGGTGGAATTATTAAGACAAATCCTAGAGTAGTAGAGTTAGTAACAGTATCAGTAGCAATAGAGTAGATTAGTGGTAGATAGTAGAAGTATAAGGAAAACTCAGGACTCAGATTCTAATATAAGACAAACAGTGAATGCACCTGCACCATCGTAAACGGTTCTAAGTCATGTCCACCAAAATTTCTAATCATTGCTTATTATAATCGCGTGAACCCCAAACGATAACGGAGATAATCATTATTAGTATGATACTTGAAGAATGCTTGTGAAAATACGTGTATTGTTTTGTCCATCTGGAGATCATTTGAACCCATCAGTCGAGTCGTCGTAAGATTTCATAAAAGACGTCATCATATACCTAAATGTTGGTAATTCATTTAATGTCGGTAGATTGTGAAGTCCCAATGAACAACGGCAGACTAAACAAACAACCCAGCGATGCAACAGCACTAAATTTTGACTGTCGGGTGTAAAGGTAGACTCACTTATTTTGCAAGAAAGTAAAGACGTTAGACCTTCCATTAAACATTGGGTTTATCAGTGTAATTATACGTTTCTTCATAATTCATTGTGATCTTCCTTTCTCTGGAAGATTTGATTGATCTTTATTAACCTTAATTTCAAATAATTTTAATCTTTATGCTGCTTTGTACTGCTACTATCTTGAATGTGTAAATCAATTCCTTCTGTTATGGTACATGTTCTCTCTTCATTTTATGTACTAAGTAACAAACAACTGCATTCTACATCAATGTAGTTAAGTTTGTATATGATTTTAAAATAAAAATATGATGTCATATGATATTGGGCTTTTATTGGTTAACGAGCGTAGATAGACAAGTATCTATGCTAAATGTATGAGACACTTTATAATATTGTGAATTCTTTTCCACTATTGATTTCACTGTAAGTGTATTCGGATTTTACACCGTTCGACTGCTCTGTATTTTGTGTCAAACGGTTAGTCTGATCTATTCTCTAGTTCACAATTGTTGATCGTGTGTTCAGATTTAATTTGGTTTACTCATCTAGAGTTCCCCCAGTTATAATAGCTAGTGTATCAAATCTTATGGTATCGTATTATCACGTGATTCGCTCCGAACCTCAGAAAAACCCATCCGTTTTAAACTCCTCTGTTATATTAGGATGTATGATTGTTTTCTAAGTAGTGAAAAAATTTTCTTTCGTAAGGATATCGTTGATTTAAATATATATATATATATACTTTGGATTTAGATTAAATATACTTAACAATTAGTTGAGAATAATTTTTTTTACTATTTAGTTGAACATTGAAAACATGTTGGTATCTCATCATGATGCCGTTACATTATATAAAATGAATAATATTATGAGATTTTATCAACATACATTTAGGTAAGTGTGATTGTAGTTAATAAATCAAAATTTTATTGATATCTCTGAGATTGTGTATGTATGTGTATAAGATTTATCTGTTGATTTGCTAGTGCTCTTCAGTAACAGCTTTTTACTAAAAAGAAATACTTATCATGTGATATACACCGTTAGAATTCTGTTAGTAACCATTGTATCCCCTACCACAAATAAAGTAATACACAAAAACATAAGGATACTGACAACGTAATAGACTTGAGATATCTACCTAGCAAGATAGATATCCGAAGTCAACCAAGTTAAGAAAGCGACAGTTATTATTGCCCCCTAGAACATCTTGGGAGTAGTGCAAATCCGATGAAATTGTAAAATGTAACAGAGATTAAACGATTATCATGAAATGTAAATATTCTCGATTTCACTTGTGTATTGAGTTGATACATAGTTCTTAAAAGTCGTAAACTTGGACAAAGTAATTCCCCAATCTTCTGATTAACAGTATTTCCTCAGTTAATCCCATTTTATGACAAGAAAAAAATTGTTTACCAACGAATTAATATAAATGAATTGATTAGATTAATAAACCCCGTTTTCGTGAATTATCCTGATTTATAATGTACAGTAGTGGGTTTTTAAGAACGGGCTCTTGTAGTCAAGTCGGAGATTCGAAGTTACGAACATCATAGCTGGTAATGTATTTTATCTCAGGAAAGCAGTTAAATTATTCTACGGGCTTCACTTAAAAATGACCAGTATCATTCTTAGCTAAACCAAGTCGACTTTTTAAAGAAAACCCATAGAGTATGTGTTGTATAAAATCATCATTATGCTTCGATGTAAATTTACATATTGGTAGTGAACGAAACCTCAAGTGGAGACAACCAATTTATTGTTTAACATGAAATTACGAAGTTCTTTCGTAAAATGTGAAGATCATACATTCAATATTCCATTTGCAAGTACTCCATCAATTGTCTCAAACTTCATAGTTCCTTCATTGCCATTACAATTACTCTCTGTTCTCGTCCTCTTCGATTCGATCTTCCCATTCTTCTGCCGCCAGGCATTTCGCTTCTGATTGATGTTATATACTACTTATTTCGACAGATATAAGTAGCATATGTTTATCTTATTACATAAAGTTTCTGTTGCATCTGAGAAGTTACTAACCAACGAGAATATCCTTCATTGTCTAATCAATTTTAAGTATTTCTACCAGTTAAAACGTATTAGAAACATCTTGTTTACCAACCAGATAGATAATTAAATGGTAAGAAAGACTCAACTAGATATCTAACTAAGTGTTCGGATTTCACACAACTGGGTTTTTCTAGCATGAGAATGGTAATTCCAGGTAAGCTGATTCAATATACTCATTTTCTTATTCTGGAAAGTGGGATCAAAGATGACTACCATAGTTTTATCAAAACATCATCACTTGAAGTTTCAAAACACAAAGAACACTTACACACTAACACAACTAAACCAATGAATCGTCTCGGAACCTTAGTATTTAAATACGTACGAGATATTTCATAATCCGTTACTAAGAGACATAAGCACCGGACTCGGTTATTGAGTGACAGTTATGAAATTCACCTCACTCCCTTCTGTTCGTGCTGGCACTTAGTATAATTCATTTTTATTTTTAGTCTGGCTCATTTTTCAGTGTACAAATGTGTTGTGCGACCGATTAGCTGCTATGGTTTTATGTTGATAGTAAAAAAAAATTTTGGAACCGACCTTCAATAAAGTGTGTATCATCTTATTTAAATTTAAGTTCTGTTTTCATCGTTTTTATCTAGATCACTAATTAAATCTACTGCCTCACTAAATTTATGCCTAGATGAAGTTCAGAAGCTCTGTAAAAGGTTATTACTCAGCACTCTCAAACAATTTGTTAAACAAACTCTAGAACAAGTGAGAATTTCAAGTTATGATTTTTCTTTTTTGTTAAATTTTATAGGTGTTATATAGTGTATGGCTCAATCGTAATGAGGTTACACTAGTCAATACAAACGTTCACAAATAAGTGGTACCTTAAATTGAATTAAAGGACTGCACACCTATGTTCCTGTTATGCTATTCTGAGCTTTATGAATTGCACAGTAATAAGTTTTGTCTATTACTATGAAATTTCTGTTTGCAAATTGTAACAGAAGAATAAAAAAGAGCACTCAGTTAATGCCATAAAATTTCCAGCGAGTAGGTTTTCCTAAATTAATTATTGATATGTTGTCAAGAAAATACCTTGGAATTCACTATCAAAAACTAAATTATATGCCTGATAAACATTATGCCGACAAAGAAGGGGACAAAATGTTTATAGTTACTTTTGTTTTAATGACTCGAACGAAAACTCACCCGACTCTCAATATTTCAGCATAAGGTTAGTGCAGGAATGAAAACAGGATGTCCATATTCGTCAGTGTAACTCACCCAGTGGACGTTGAACATGACTTATAAAAAGATTAATACCTATAGTTTTTGTTAAATCTGATCTATTTGAGAATTCAATATTCTTCTGTAAATGTTAGTATCTCAAAAATCACCTGTATTTGGTATGTTTAGCTGCTCATACTTGAATGTTCTCGATAATATGCTTTATTCTATTACTGACATTTTGTAAGGCTGAACTTCCTGGGATAAGTTGTGATTGTAAAAACCATTCATAGGAATTTAACTCCAACAAACGTTCAATAATCTACACCAAGTCAGTTTGTTTCATCTCTGTCAAGTGTTTTTATCTCATGAGGACGACCTGCATTTTGTAAGGGGATCAATATTTCGAACTACATATCTTTTATTACGTTTTTGTCAATATTTGTCTTAAGGAAATATTCTGTCTAATCATCAGTCTGTGTTATGTCCTTGATCTGTCTACCCACGTCTATGCAATGATAACTTGTCTAATCTAGATTAAGACTTTGATGCGATAGGCTGATTGGTTTAAACTTGAAGGCTAGTACGTGTGATTTCGAAATGTGACCAACTGTCTGGGATGGAGAGACGAAAATTATACTATCACCTGATTGGCTGGCAAGCACGCGAGAGAGAGAGATAAGACAAGTCAACTGGAGCACTACTCGATTCATTTCCAGTTCCGATCTGGTTCCTGATTCAGATTACTGTAAAAAGATACATGAATAAATAGATGACTAACCCGACCACAACGTACAATAATTAGGGAAATACAATTACGTCCAAAACTGGGGATTAGGGTAGAAAATAGATAACAAAAGATTACGTTTAAATTACAATAGCTTTGGAACAGAAAAGGCTATGGCAGTGAAACATACATAAAATGGAAGCCTATGGTCTGTAGAAATAAACTAGGGACAAAAAAAAATTTTACTGTTTTACAAACTTTGAACTAAACGAAATAACGTCCCCAAAAATAGCTTCAGTAGTTTGTCAAGGCTTCTTGTTTCTCGGTTCCCATCAGTCTGATTCTTCTCCATGTTGTCATAGATTGCCAGAAGTCAGTCAGTGATGTAATAACTTTTTCTTGAAAAAATTATTTTCTTACAATTAATAGAATCATCTGTCAGTCAGTTTTTGTTTCTTTCTCATTTTCTTTACAATTTATATTAGCCTGATCATCCAAACTTAAATTTATCTCCGAATGAACTAATCACTGACACTCTGCAATTACTTATCCAAATGGTCGGTGATCAAGATATTTCATTACTACCAAACGATGAAGTGAAAGCCGAACGCGCAGAGGTATATTGTATATTAACGTAGCAAAACTTTTCGGTACAACCACTGTTTGAATGAGTGGGCCTTTTTACAAACCGTCTCCAAATCTAACTTTTAAATCTACAGTTATTGTTTTATATTAAGTCGTCTATTGGATGTATTGAGATTCTGATTAAGTGAATCTTATGTATTCTATCATAGGTGTCTTCAAAGCATAGCTCGTATATCTTTAGACCACCAGGTAAGTAATATAGTTGTTAAGAAACGGGTACTAAGTAAGGATGGCAAATGTATTGATTATCTTGGGAGTCTCATCAGCCCTTGTGGTCTGGTGTGTGACGAAATCTCAACACGGATACAGAAGGCTCGTCTAGCTTTCGCCAAATTGCGTCATTTATGGCGTAGGCGAGATACCCTTCTAGCAACAAAAGGACGGTTTATTTTGCAGCAGTTCGTTACGTCCTAATTTATGGCAGTGAAACATGGCCGGTAAGAGTAGAGGATATTCGTAGGCTACTAGTTTTCGATCACAGGTGTCTTCAAAGCATAGCTCGTATATCTTTAGACCACCGAGTAAGTAATATAGTTGTTATATATATATATATATATATATATATATATATATATATATATATATATGGTTGGAGACTCTAGGTGACATTGCTCAGAATCGATCACAATGGCGTTGGTGTATACATTCTTTATCTTCCCTTAAACCTTGAGATTAAAATTGCTTCATAACGTTCTTCCTTCCTATACTTTATCCTTATATACAACCTATCTTTTATATACTACCACCACTAAATTAACTATTTCTATGAGTCCGGTGTTCATCTTGTTGTGCTAACGTGGTATGGCAACTTGGACCGATGCATATATGTGCCTGGTCCTACGTTGTGACTGACGATTGATAAGCTCCACAAAAAGAATGGTTCTTTTTTTTCTCTTAACACTTGTGTCTAAGCGAAAGCTGTGGATGTCATATTTCAGTAGTACGATACTACAATATTTATAAAGTCAGATATGACCATGGAAATGAAAAAAACTGTAGTTCATTCGATACACATATAGTCTTTTTTTGCTTTTGAAAAGAGAGATAGTTGAGAAGATACAAATATTTTGTTGGTACACCAAATGGTTTTTGGTAAAACATTGGTTTAGGACCTGCAGGATCTTCCATTACAGTAACATGTTTAGTAATTGTCTATTATAACCCCTAAGTGAGCCTATTTTAGCTGTTGATTATTCAGATAAATTGTAATTGTTAAGTCGTCTTTAGCTTTCTAATAATTCCACTCTCTTAAGCACTTGTGATCGGTATGCGTACTCCTTTATTCGTGACCTTGTTAATTCGATACCTGTATGTCTGTACACTAACTGATCTAACGTCCACCTTCTTACCCGCATTATTTATTGTCTGCTTCGAGTTAGGGTAACACCTATAACAAGTAAGATTTCAAAGTTTTGCCTTCTCCGGTTTGCGTCTTTGATCGTCTACATTAATGGACTCATGAAATATGTTCCCAATAACACTAGTATTTGACTTATTCTATTTCGTTATTCAATAACTCATATAACTACATGAATACGTACGAACTTAATTAAGGTTCAAGATTTCATCAATCATTATCGACATAATGCTTTTAGTTAACTAAGGACACTAAACGTCCTGAGAGCACAATATAGTTACACAGATGCGGTATTACATTATGGTAGGGTCGGAAAAGCCTATTTTCAGAAATTTCATGCAATTGGTTCCCTTTATGAATTTAAATAAAGCAAGAACAAACATACAAGAACAAACATCATACTATTCTGCATCAATGTTTGTTCTTGCTTTATTTAAAGCCTATTTTATTTAACTGGACGTCCACTCAACATGCCGCTGCTCTCTTCTTTATTTGATGACTAGAGTGACTGATTTTCATTAAGAGTTATTATTACGAGTCCAATCGAACTATTTGCGGTTACCTCGTACGTTGTTTGTGTACAAGACAGCGTTTTCTTGATTTCTTACTTATTTACCGTTTCTTTTATTACGGACATTTTTCTTCATTTCAGGTGATCGATTGTTTGGTATCCCCTTTGATCGCTTACTGCGAAAAGTCTGCTAGCTTACTCAACCTTAAATCCCTATCGCAAATAAGACATCTGGACGACCAACCACCCACTAATCCACCTGATAACCCTTCAGTATCAATATACTTAGCTAACTGTTTCAATGTTATTCAGGTCAGTCTTTCAGAGGTTCCTTTCAGTGCTAGTCAAGTTGAACAAATCGCACTGAAGTTAGATAACTGTTTGAATTCATTGGTTGTTGCACAAGTTTCCTTTATACTCGAAAGGACAGGTCTTTTGTTAATAAATCAAAAACTTGACACTGCTCAGGATTCTAATGTACCTCAGCACACTATATCCCAATTTCATGACATGCTGGTAAGTCGTTTAGCCCTAGATTCAGTAAATAGTGCTACTTCAAAATACACCATACATACTTCAGTAGCCTTTGTTTGGTGTTATTATTTGTTTATTATATCTCCCGATATTTTGATAGCTGTTGATTTGTTGAATAAGACTACGCTCTTTGAGTTTACAGCTACCAAAGATATATGTGAGTAGACCAGTCATAACCCCCTCAAATTGTTAATTAAATGACACCTGCCCCTGTCCAACACTAGTCCCTCCGAAATTGCAGATCTCTGCTTAACCAAGTGCTAAGTATCGCGAGACCTGTTGTTTCTTGTTAACCATCTCAAACCACCTGGCACGAAATTAGTGTTGATTTGCCAGATCGTAAATTATTATTGATATTTAGTATCTCATTCTTGAATCCATAAAATTGCAAACCTCATATACATACCGTAGGATTTAACTTTCCCTACTGATATACTACTAGAAATATCAACGCGATACTGGCGATTCCAGAGTTTATGTGAAAGCTATAGTCAGAACAAGGGCAACTTGGCTTTAAACTTTATCTGTTTTGACCCGTATTGCGTGTTTTATCGAAACGAATAAGTTATGGGTCACACTAATATAATAGGATAATAATGTCCTAGATTGGCAGATTACATGCAACAGGGATAGTGTACAGACACATCAGACCAGATTGACGTGGTGAGTGTTTAATTAACGATTTGATTGGCTAGTTATGGACATAGCTAACATTTCCCCAAGCGGACACCACGTCCAGGCTTCGATGTTGTGGCGCTCAAATAATCGGTCTCTTTTAATGGGCACAGTTTTCGTATATCCCGGCTGATCTCTTCGGTTTCTATCTTCAGTTGAACTGTTCTGACTTATCCATCTGGACCATAATTGATCAGTCTAACCATAGCTTTCGACCACAGATTTCTCGGTGAGCCAGTCTTGTTTATTAACACTAAATTTCCTGGTTGTAGGTTTCTTTTCATTGTCCATCCACTTGTATCTCACCTGAATGGTTGGGCGATACTCCCGTAGCCATCTGTTGCAGAATAGGTTGGCTAGTTGCTGAGCTTCCTTTCATCTCATGTTGTGTAAACCTGTTTTACTCATCTGCGCTTTGTCGAATGATATACCTCTGTAAACTAACAATAACTTATTTGGCGTAATACATCCAGACTATCACAGTCATTAACTAGCTTTACACGAGTTGTCGGTCGTTCAATATTCCTTCAGCCCTTATTAAAAACGCCTGCAAAAACTCGTCTGTCAATACCTTCTGAAACAGTAGTGATCGTAGAAGTCTTATTGACTTTATGATACGTTCCTATACACTGCCTCGATGACTAGATCTTGAGGGGTTGATATGCCATTCACAACCTCTTTCCAAATAGGTATTTTCTATCTTATTCCGGTCCCAACTACACACAATTTGTCTAAAACTGGCATCGGTTCCTCTAAAATTTGAACCATTGTTGCTGAACACATGTTTTGGGTGACCCCTCCTAGCAACGAATCTCGAGAGAGCACATAAGAATGAGTCAGTATCCAAGATGTTGGACATTTCGATGTGAACTGCTATATATATATATATATATATATATATATATATATATATATATATATATAAATCACTATGGACACTTAAAATGCTAGTTCTTAAACTTTCAAGCATAAGATTCACAACGTAGAACGTTGTACGTTCGTACATCAGTTCGAGTTGCCACATCACGTTAACACAGAGATGCAGTTGTCGATTCGAATCCCATAATGGTAGAAGTAGTAAGAGTTTAAGCATTAATGTGGAAGATTAGGGTTTAAAGATCTTATTGAAGGAGTATAGTCCAGTGAAATAAATTTGAAAAGAAAAAAAGGATAGAGACACGAAGAATTCAGAAGATTAGAATTTGGTAGAATACAAAGAGTAGACGCACCTTCGCCATTGCAAAAGATTTTGAGCCATTTCATTCAAGGTCTCTAACCATCAATTGCTATCATCTCGCGAATCCCAACCAGGTAGTCTACACCTACCAGCATGGCTCAGTCCATTTGTCAGTGACTTCATGGATTTGTGCCACGTTTTGGTCTGGCCGCCCCTAGCTTTCTTCCAACCTACTCCTACACCATGAAACATTGCACGTCGTGGCAGTCGGTGGTTGGGCATACGTAACACGTGTCCCAGACATCTCAACTGATCAAGTTTCAATACTTCATTAATCCATTTGCCAACCTTACTTAGTACCCGTTTCTTAACAATTATATTACTTACTCGGTGGTCTAAAGATATACGAGCTATGCTTTGAAGACACCTGTGATCGAAAACTAGTAGCCTACGAATATCCTCTACTCTTACCGGCCATGTTTCACTGCCATAAATTAGGACGTAACGAACTGCTGCAAAATAAACCGTCCTTTTGTTGCTAGACGGATATCTCGCCTACGCCATAAATGACGCAATTTGGCGAAAGCTAGACGAGCCTTCTGTATCCGTGTTGAGGTTTCGTCACACACCAGTCCACAAGGGCTGATGAGACTCCCAAGATAAGTGAAGCGGTCAACACGCTCAACTACTTTACTCCCTATCATTAGTTCAGGTGCCGATGCAGCCCAATCCTGAAGTAACATTTAGCACTTCGAGGGAGAGAATTGCATCCCGAACATGCCTGCATAGGTGCCTATAGTGGTCAGAAAACTGTGCATTTTGTCAGCGTCTTCACCAAATAGAACTATGTCGTCGGCGTATTCCAAGTCAACAAGTGAGCCTCCCGGCAAAAGTTCAACTCCTGGAGATTGAGATGATGAAAGTGATACCTCTAAAAGCATGTCAGCGACAAAGTTAAACAAGAATGGGGAGAGTGGACAGCCCTGACAAACACGACTTGAGGTAACCAATTCTGATGACAGTTCGCCATAGGCTCTAACTCGACCAGTTGTGTTCGAGCAGAGAGCTTTTATGAGGTTTATGTACTTCCTTGATACTCCTTCAGTGATAAACACTGCCACAGACCCTCACGATCAACAGAGTCAAATGCCGCCTTAAGGTCAAGAAATACTACTATTGTGGGACGTCTGAACTTGTGTCTATGTTCTAGGACCTGACGTAGGGTGAATAGCTGGTCTATGGAACCACGTCCAGGTCGAAAACCAGCCTGGTTTTCTCTAGTCTGCTCTTCACGAGCTTTGGTTAGGCGACCTAGTATTATTGAATCTAATATTTTAGACACTATATTAGTCAAACTGATCCCTCTGTGATTGTCACAGGAGGACTTTTGTCCTTTGTTATAGACTGGCACAATCAGTGATTGGGACCAGTCAGATGAAATTACGTCCAGTTCCCAGATTCTACCTAAGACCTCAGTCAATCTCGCTGCTAGTACTTGACCACCATCCATAAAAATCTCAGGGGTAAACCTGTCAGGGCCTACTGCTCTCCCTCGCTTCAGATTTCTTATAGCTTTTTCAACCTCGTAGAGAGTTGGAGGACTTACATCGATTTGCCATTCAGGACAACTGGGGATCGTGGGCAACTGAAGTGTGGCTGAAGGCCAGTTGAACTAATCCCTAAAGTGTTCTGTCCATCGATCCAATCTCCTGGATTGAGAATGAATGATATGTTCATCTTTATCTGAGATAGTTTCGCTGACAGTTGGGTTTTTAATACCAGTTTCTTTAACAAGTCTGAACAGTTGTCTGTTGTTACCTAATGCCGCTGCCTTTTCCATCTCTCTTGCTTTCCCTACCCACTACTGTTCACGATCATTGCATAGGCTTCTTATTAGCCTGCGCTTAAGCTGACTCCGCTCTTCGTTATGTTCAGAGCCAGGTGGGATGAGTTTTCGAGCATCTATTAGTGCGGTAGATGCTGCCGAGATCCATTTTTCTGCTTCACCTTATGGTTTACCGTACTAGCGGATATCACTGCTGTTTCCACAGCTTTTCGGATGTCATTCCACGCTGCTTCGGTTTGGGCACAACTTACATGTCTGTCTAACTGTTTTTCTAGTTGTTCCTGAAATATATTCTTAGCTTGCTTATCATTAAGTAGAACCGATAGAGGTTTCCCTGCAGTGTCTTTCCTACGTCCAGTAAGACGCAGACAGATACGTGCTCGCACTAGAGAATGATTTGGGTCTAAACGTGTGGTCCAGAATGAGCGACAGTCTTCTATCGAGCCCCTCCATCGGTGGCTGATAGCGATGTGATCTAATTGGGTCCAACGTTGGGACGAATTCGGGGGTCGCCATGTCAAAAGATGTCTTTCCTTATGCTTAAAGTTAGTATTTGCAAGAAATAGGCGGTTATCTGAGCACAGCTGCAACAGACGGTCGCCATTACCTGTTCTTTTAGCTACGACACCATAAGATCCACCCAGGTGTCTTTCCCTTTCACTTAGTTTACCTACTTGAGCATTAAAATCACCAGCCACTATTACTACATCAGAACGTCTAGCTTTTCGGAGAAGGTCAGAAATTTTCCTGTAAAACTCATCTTTTATATCATCTGAGCTGAAGTCAATGGGAGAGTAGGCAGAGACGACGAAGAGGCAACGACGAGTTTCCCTATCTTTCCGGGTCATTACTGATCCGTTTATTCGGACAGCGCATAGACGACTGTCTACTGGGATCCAGTCTAAAAGAGCTAGTTTTGCCCTAGGACTTAATGCTATACCTACTCCATAGAGGCCACGGGAAGCAGCATCAGGGCTTCCAGATACACAAAGCGTGTATCGAGATGGTTCTTTATTTTGATTAGGTGCGGTCAAATGAATGACGTTACTCGGATCTTGTATGCGCGTTTCGGAGACGCAGCATACATCGATGGTGTAAGATTCTAGAGTCCTAGCTAAGGAAGCCTGTTGTTCTATTTGGCACAATGTTCGGACGTTAAAAGTTCCTACATGTAGTTTAAAGCGAGGTTTCAGGAGACCAGGAATAACGTACCGTGTACACGAATCGTTTGCCCTAGCGGTGCGAGGTGATAAAAGGACGTGGGAAGGGTTAGTCGTGGAGATAAGAGAGTTATTAGGAGATGTAGGAAGGATTTGAATGTGACCGACTCGGTCTCGTGCGCCGTTACGGGTATGACGACTAATATCACTTCCCGACTGCCCACACCGTGGAAGGGTATTTCTGGAGGGACCTGAAAAGAAGGTTGGTCTTAACGACCTGGGAGCGTGACCGCAGTGCCCAAGGGACAATTGCTTGAGGCCGGTCACGCACGGCCTTCTTGTGGGGGATTTTTGACGTGTTAGCTCCGTTCTTCTTTACCGCCGGAGACACAAGTCTGTGGGATAAGGCGAGGTGTGCATTTTCAGGGTCGACCTTTTCTAACCCCACCCCTCCTTGTGGGAAGGCAGCATCGCTGTTATGCTGATTGTCTGAAGGAAACATATTACTGCTGTCACACCTCTGTACCGTCAGCAGTACGACTTCGGACCTTGGGTTTGCTGCTTTTAGTCTTATAGCTCTTTAAACGACCTGCCTGGCATGGTGGGACCTTGAGAAACGATTGTTTCAGCCAGTAAACCTCGATTGGTTCATCACGATAGGCAAGTCCGACCACCACGTCAAGGTAGCAGCAACGGTCGGAACTCGTGTTTATGCTGCATGTGTCTTAGCGTTTCCATCTCCATGGGGAATGGGATCATTTGAACCAATTTAATTATATTCTACTTCGCACTATCAATTTCTCCCAATCTCAATCTACCAAGAATTGACTGTCTTCTGTCTAATCTCCTCACACTGTGGACAAACAGTTTGCACAGAACGAATATTCTCAGCATTTTCGACCAGGTCTAGCAATTACTAAATTGATACAAAAATTGATATAAATGACTTTCCGCTCGTGTTGCGCCTAACTCTTCTGTAAACAAATGGGCTAAAACATGGTTCTCCTCTTCGCGTGAATTTAGCCAGTCACCTTCGTTCTGACAAAAAGTTCGGTCCTTGAAACCACATATTTAGCATAATGCTATCACTTAACGACAATCAACACCAAGCATGATCCTCAGGATTCTGTTCACTTTTAACATATCCCCATTGGTTTGCTGTAGACAGTTCGTAAATCATTGCTGACCTATTGCTTACGAATCACTCAAATCTGGTTGTATTTCTTATACAATGAATTACAATAAATGAATCCGTCCAATAAGTGACAGGAGAGATAGGGATACGCATTTTTTTTCTAACTGTTAATTCCATTCCAGGAATGGTTATAGGTTTTGATGGGGCAACCCTGACTTAGCTAGTAGAAAGGAACAATGAACTTGACGGGAGACATCTTCAGAACGAGCATACACCACAACACCATATGCGAATTCTGAGACATCGGCAAAGAAACGAATCTGGGTAACCAGTGGTTTCTACGATTCTAGCATGAGACATCTGGGAAGTAGCATTTTACTTAGGCGCATCATACCTATGGGTCAACAGTCCCATTTCATAAAGCACTCCCTAGGAAGCTTTGCGTCCCATGCAAGATTTTGTGGTCAAGTACTTTGCAAAACTAATTTAACTGCCAAAACAACTGGAGCTACAAACCCAACTGGGTTGAATATAGAAGTTACATACGACGAAATGCTCATATCGAATTCGCACACCCTAAAGACCTTATCCGTTCGAGCATTCCACTCTATTCCTGGACTCCTTTCGTTTCTTTCCATGCGGTCTTCTGGAATAAGCCTCATTAATTCAACATTGTTGCTGGCCCACTTGGTCAGATTAAAGCCCTCTAAACGTAACATTTCCTTCAGTTGAGGACATACTAGATTATCTTTTTCTAACGTATCAACACTAATAAATTGTCCCTTGACTGTCTGTATTATAAATTTGGGAAACCAAGCCTTCTTATCTAGGATAGTTCGTTGTAGAGGTGTTGCGCAACTTGATGAGGTCACACCAAAAAAATATACTTTCATTCTATAGGTTTCTGGTTCAGTTCTCATGTCACTGCGGCCCCCATGAAAATCTAAGGGCATTGCGACCCCATGGCAGGACAATCACTTGATGAAACTTAGCTTCAATATCTGTCGTGAAACCTGTTAGCCGTCTCCAAAATCTTGTGAAGACATCTACCGGATTGTTAACTAAACCTGAACCAAAATACATGTTTTTCTTCAGGGACGTCCCAGTGTGTTGTGCTGCACAATCAAATACGACTCTTAGCTTATCAAGTTTCTTTGGATGAAAGACAGGGTGGTGGGGTAGTCACCAAACCCGACACATAATTGAGTTTTCTGTAGCTCCGCTCAACATACTGTGCCACCACATTAACATATTCCTTTCGTAACCTCTGGTCACGGACTAGCCGGTTTATTAAGGAACTTTATCTACTCATCGCTAGTTTCCTATTATTAAATAGGCTTTGTTAGTGACGCTATTTGGTAATGCATCCAAGGCTTCACGATCTTCCACCGACATGGGCACACGGTGACTCAAGTTTTCTTGAAAGTCCATCTTATATGACTGGTCTAACCTAGCTTCTAGTTCATCTTTAAACGACAGATGATTTATGATACCCATATTTCTCGTAGTTTCACTTTAAGGTCCAAACAACGTCTACGCTACAAGTTTTTATAGAGTGGGCGCCTAAACAAGGATTTGATTAGTTAATTATGGACACGGCTAACATATGACGTCAACAACGCTGGCAATTGACATACTGGTAGTCGCGCGGTGATAACTAAACGCATAGGTGTAAAAAGCCCATCGCTAGGTCTATCACTTTCAAACATGTAGTCAGTCAGTGCTACTTGGATCGCCTACTTTTTTCAAGTAATATTTCCAATTGCTTATAGCTCTCTAACCATAATCACCGGTCTTACAGCGTTTATGCATCATTGTCCCTTGAAACGAAACTACTTTTATAACGACTACTTATCAGAGCAAACCGAACTGTTCAACTCACTGTTACTCTTATTTTATCCTTAGGTGGATTTCAATAATTACTTATCGGATCCAAACAAGCTATGCCTTTCTGACATGAGCAAACTATGTTCCCAACAATTACGAAGGTTGGTTCGTCGTCGTTCTGCTGACCAGATCCATAGTTACTACCAATCTGTTCATCAAGCAATCATGAATATATCCAAAACCTGTTCGGAAGGGGATACAACTGTACAACTGTGTACTCCACAACATGTCGCTGAACTAATTCTCAACTTCTGATTGTTTTCGTAAAAATGAGAAAAATTGGTTCTGCTCTTATTGTTTTCTTCAGATTATTTTTATCCCATTCGGGGAAAGCTGTTTGCTGTCGCAGTATCTATACACCATAATGAACCCTGACTGTTTGCATGGTCCCCGCCACATCAGATTTAAAAATAAAACGGAAGGTTACATATGATACATTGGTTAGCGAAATTAAGGTATTCAATGGATAGATTATGCCTCTGTGTCCATAGCTTCACCAGATGAGTCGCTTTCAGGTGAAATATGTGAAATGAGGGGTAACTCTGATTGTACGTTGTCGGGAGATAAATGGTCCATATCTTCAGGGCCTGCTAGCTTCACCCCTACAACTGTAGGTTTGGGTGGTTGCTCATTACTAGAATGAGTATCATCATCACTTTGGGTCTTTCCATTTTCCATACTTTCAGCAGGACATATCTTACTATTTTCATCCTCACTGTCACTGCAACTGCTGATACTGTCTGTATGTTTGCTTTTCTTTGAGGATGGAACCTCATCCAAAGTTGCACTCGGACGATTGTTGACTTCGGGATTCTTTTCTCTTTTTTCCTGTCGAACTGCTCCGTTGCTGTGACTTTGCTTCGTTGGAACATCTCGGTGTTTCTTCGGCTTGGAATCCCGTCTGTCTTCAAAATCTCTTTCACTGTGACGATATTTTTCACGATCTCTGCGATCAGGTCCACGATTTCGCTCACGTTCTTTTTCGCGTTCTCTTTCTCGGATTTTCTCACGATCCCTGTCGCGGTCTCGTGTCCGATCCCTTTCACGGGTGTTTCTGTTCTGCCGGTCACGATGGTCGCCTCGGTGACCTTTAGATCGACTACGTGAGTATCGACGACTGGAGTGCGAACGAGAATGCCGATGCTTTTTGCGATTGTGAGACCTAGAGTAGTAAAACAGTTGATAATTAATGCCAAAATTTTCGTGAACGAACGACAGAACGAGAATTGTGGAAGACTTTCTATTGAGTCGCCAGTCAGATCTGAAAGTCTATCAGTTCGTGTTAGCAAAAGTAATATACGTAAAGCTGTATCAAGTCGTAATAGTATTCATACTGAACTCAGTGTCAGGACAGAAAATAGTTTTTGCATTGGAAATTCACTTATATACTGTGTTCGAAAACACAAGGAAAAATTGTATGTTGTCACCCCCATAGTTACGAGTTCCTAACGATGGCTAGGATACTGACCTACATATACTAGGAAAGCCCAACCAACTTTTCACAATCTGGTTTACAGAGACTTAAACCTGAATACTCTAGTGGAGTTCGACATAATTTTACCAACATATTAGAAAATGAATCTTTCTGTCACTGCAGTCTGTGAAGCGTGAAAACTACGTACTACAGTGTATTCTTGTTGGTCTATATTCTTAGTTTAATTCAGAAGTACAGAGACAACACAATTGTCAATTAGAACGTCAACTTTCTACCAGTACCATTAAGATTATTAGCACTTCGTTGCATCTGAGGAATAAAGGAGTTGAAGATAATCAAACAAAATAAAAGGTGGTGAGGAACGCAATGAACGTGCTTACTTCTCAGGGAGTACGGATAATTTACAACTTTTGGTTGCCAACATTCCCAAATAGATTTTGTAATGGCGTAGTTAAACAATGGTTAACACTACTTAAGTCTGATTACATCATCTAAATTATATTTATTGCACGAAACCGTATGATATTCTGACACAATGATTCTAACTCATTGTATGTTCGTTAAATGATGTCATTTTGAAACTAGTGATTGAATCCCACTGGTCTAATTGAAGGTGGCATCGTTGAAAATGTTGGCTACCCGTAAAAAGTTCACAGTATTTAGCAGTGCGACCCTGCTTTTAGACTTCGAAATACTTAAGCAACCTCCTAGTATTGTAAGTTTAAGGATGATGAATGTTTCATCTAGCATAAGTCATCACATTACACAATATGGACCACCGTATCAAGATAGCATCTACGCCCTACGCTTGACATAATATCTCTTAATACCTTTCAGCCACAAACACTGACTTATTTAACAGGTCATTATTTAAGCTTTCGCTTTAGACATTTTAAACTGGTGTTCCTGAATAAGTCACTGGTAAAAAAAAAGCTGACGTGGACTTACCTTGACCTAGCATGGTCACTTCTCCGATAATCCCTGCTTCGCGAACGTGTGCGGTGACGATGTCCACGAGACCTGGAGCGGGACTGTGTCGGAGACCGTCTTCTATCTCGACTGTGACGAGAATGGGAGCGTCTTCTGTCTCTAGATCGACTACGATATCTTCTTGAAGTTGATCTGCGTCTGGATCGAGAACGTCGAGCACGGGATCGGGAACGTGAGCGTCTTCGATCACTGTGTTTGCTACCTTGATCACACAAAAATACATAAAGAAAACTGAGTAATTCATATTAATAACTGGTACGAGAGAGTGAATCGTAACTCAATATTAAAGTCAAAGCATATTTCTAAAGGATTTAATGGTTGAACGCACGAATATTTATTGCAGAAACAAGTAGTACAATTAAAGTTGAATGAGCATCGTTCGCTCGTACACAATGGATACTTTGAGTTACTTCGGTGACCGAATTGTACTAACAGAGCACTGAGAGAAAACATATTTCTGATAGTACACTGCAGAAGATAGAGCCTACTATTTGTGTAACGTCAGTTGTTAGGAATAGAAAAGAAAGGATATATGGCATTTTAGCTGAGACCGTTTAAGTTAACAGTGAACATTACAACCACACCTGCCTCAAACAAGTGCTTCTTAGTAACTAAAGGGATGACGTTTTAATCCAACAAACTATAATTAAGCAACAAGTTGAACAATAAGGAGAAAGTCAGAACACATAAGTGGGTAATTTTTTCATCAGATAGATCTTCATTAGGTCATACTCTAATAAACGATATACAAACCAATAAGAATTCCTGGGTCAATGATAATAATTGTTACGATTAGGCATGTTGTTTGCTTGATTGTCATTAGTGACCTATATATTGCCCTTACATTTTGTTAAATGTACACAAAGGTTACTGCACATTCGAATAAAGCTTAGTAATCTAACTGAAAACACTACTGTCAGTGCGGGGTTATGGAGATTGTTGGATTTCAACAATCGGAAACATTATTGTTCGAATTTACACCACGGGAATTTTTAGTAATAAAGTGAATATTAAATAAGGATACTATAAAAACAAGTGGTAATAAATCCAAAGATGTATGGGCAACAATGAAACCAACAGGCGTTAGTAAAGTAAATAGGACTTCAAGGAACTGATTAACAAAACACATGAACTGTTTTAGGTGGTTTTAGATAGCCGTAATACTTCCTATCAAGTAACAATTATTATTTGTCTTATGAGATGCCGATTCTCTACGTTATGACTCTTTCCTGACGTTCCAACCTATTCACTACTTACGAACGACATCTCCATCCTTCTTATTCTTGAATTATTTTGTTGTCGATCCGGCACTATTTCCATTGCTTGAATTTGTAGTAGTTACCTAGCCTCACCCTACTGTTATTAATTTCAATCTCACGAAAAACATACTAGTGTGTAGCCTTGAAGAACAGCCCAACAATATTTGTCTCTTATTTCTTTTCATTTTCTCGATAGGAATATCTGCCTAACCTTATGAACACAGGTACGTTTTACCTAGATCTAGACTTACTTAAATTACCGCCAATTGCTTTGGGTTGCCAAGTTGATGTACGAAGCCCTCGGAAGTGGTATACTTCAGAAGCACCACTTTGCTGACTAAAGTCTATGAAAAACCTAGAGATTCCGGGTGTTTTGCGAAGTATTAGTACTTTAAGTTTTACAGTCTGCTGACCAGTAAACATATATACTCATCGGTCCAAGCTGCCACCCCTCATTAGCACAAGATGAACAAATTCATAGTAGTTACTTTAATGGTAGTAATATATAAAAGGAAGATTATGTATGAGGATATAACACAAGAAATAATTAGTTCCTAGAAATAAAGGCATAAAGCAATTCTAATCTCACGGTTTAAGGGTACACAGAGAGTGTATACACCTACGCCATTGGGCTCGATTCTGAGCCATGTCATACACAATGTAAAACCCGCAACGTGAGCATTGGCTCCAGTTGTCATATTAAACCAGCAACAAGGAACCCAACAATTAGTAAGGGACTATTCAGTGCACGAGCATTTGGGTTGGCGAACCTCAACTAAATGAAAGCCACTGGATTCGCTTGGACGCCCACGTCTCTCTACTCTGAATTTAAAGTGGCCAAGGTCTCTAAAGCGTTTCAAATTACAAAATATCAATATGAACCAGTTGGAAAACTTTCACAATTTGTATGTTTTATGCAAGATAGACGGAAGTGGGAGGGAATGTGGTGGCACGTTTCTAGAGCAATGTAGTCTGAACATGCACGTTTATACTTAGTAAGGACGGAAATCCACGCTTTAGCATGACACAACAGCTAACTGTACGAAATTCTCCACTTCCAATAAGACGTGCATAAGTTCACAAATTACATGGAATAGTCGTTATAACCAACTCCACTGAAATAAACTTACTGTGACCACCAACACTTGACGCCTGTTCGTTTGTGGCTGAGCGTTTTGATGTCTCATCAAGCATAGCAACGTTGTTGGCAGGTTTAATAATCGCACAGTTGGAATGTTGTACCATTATCTGTAACAAATTAGTTATAAAGAGTTACAAACCTGGCGGCCGTTTAGGGTGGCCCCCATTAGGCCGAAAGCCTTAATAATTGATGGTTGTTGAGTGAACTCCACATAAGCAGCTCGATCAAAGTCAGTCCCCGCCATCCGTACACAGCGTACTTCGGCATGTTTGTTGAAGAACTCTAGTACCTGAAATCAAATGGACTTGAAAGAAAACGAATAAAATGGATGGATATTGCCAAATGAGAACTTATAATGCAAAGCTAACTGGTGAAAAACAGGATATGCATGACTAGCACTTAGGTAACCCTGTTAGTTACCTTGAGTCAGATGCGAACTCCTTGAAATCGCAGAATCAGGTACAGCATAGGAATATCCTATAAAAATTGTATACCAAATTGGATGTCTTAGCAGGGTAGAGGGCCCTGTTTGGCCTCACGCAGTGATAACTAATTAGTAAAAACAAAAAAGAAAAGACAAAAATGTACAGAAAAGCCACCGACCCTTTTGGAATCGCAGTCACAAGAGCATTATTTACGTATCGATAAGGAGTAGTGCTGTTGCGATGGCACACTGCCGATGACCAGTAGGGCTGGAAAACACGATACACAAAAAGCACAGAGGAATTGTTAGGTACTATTGGTAATTTATTCGAAGCATATACAAAACACCTGAAGTCAATAACTTGAGACGCACAAATGTAAAAGCCTTAGAATTAAACTTATTACGCTGTTTGGGAGATTTTGAGGGAATTCCACACTTTATAGTGCTCCTATATCCTTTGTTGAGGAATTAGTTCTCCACTTGTACACACTGCTGTGAGGCGTACATATTTACTAACCTCACTAACCATAACGGCCATAAAGCATCCTGAGCAGATTTCTGATATTTCTCTTGTCATGGGCATCTCTAGAACGTACCTGATCGCCTGTTGTCTTTGGGTCAAGATTTGTAACCAAAATTGTTCTTCGGATTTCTTCTATGCGACTGCCGTCAGTAGTGGCAGGAAGAGGCGGGTATAGGGGGAATGCCAGACTGGAAAGACGAGGTTCCATAGTGTGTATCACCTGCTCACCAGGACGACCAACCACCATGCTAATAACATCAAGAGGCCAATCAGCGGTCCGTGGGAGGACGCCAGCAGCAGTATTTGGAGGTGCTCTAACGAGATTGGCATACTTTTCGTCAGGAATAGTATCACGGTCACCAGACAGCGGAAGGACTATCAGCGCCCTGTCGAGGAAGACAGTATTGTTCAGATGCAGTGCAACTTCGGCATTTATAGGTTCTTGGTAGCGTATATAGCAAACCTGCACGGTAATGTAACGTTATAAAAAATTACCTTGCTGGCCAACTCCTCCTTATCGTCCGATGGGTAAACTACGACTTCCTCCAAGACTCCCACATGACCAAACAATGTGCGTAACTGTTCAGATGTCGCAGACGGCGACACATTCGTGACTTGGACAATCCTGTTCTTCCTATTTACCGACATTAGCCGATGCCGGGAGAGAAACCGCGCTTTGACTTTGACGACAACTTAAACAAAAGCAAAGACAGAAAAACGGAAAGGATAGTTATCCTAATAGTATATTGCTGCTGGAACAGTGTTTGAGTTTAAAATTAAAATATCAGGCTTTCCTACCGGCAGTATACTTCATTCCAAAGTTTCGTTATAATGTTCAGCGCATTATGGTGAAAAAGTGATAGCCAGCGCACATTCCTTAGCTAACAGCTTACAGCTGCGCGTGTCTCCCAGTTTACGATGCTGTTTGATTTGGTGATCCAATCCATTAATTTTGTACAGTTTTTGTATGTTGAAAAGAAGGAGAAGTCTGATCAATGATTAGAATAAATGATGAGCTAGTGAAAGTCGTTTGACCTTATTGTATTTGAGTCTTCTAGAAAAAGAAATTGACAGATATTTGGCAGTGTCCAATAAGGCTTGTCACTACATATAACTGAAGGGTTGTTTGCAGTTTGATTTTGTTTTTCATAAATTTAGTCGTTCATTCCTTTTTTTATTAGGATATAGATTCAAAAACGGGATAACAGTCAGCGACAGCCAAACAAAGGTGGAAAAACCGAATACATAAGATAAATATACAAAACCAAGCAAACAAGTAAACAGAAGTACTACAGATCACAAGCAGAACTACAGAGATGGGATTACTACATTTGAAAATCCTCGAGAGGTGGAAACACCAAGGCGAGAAAACAGCCTGCCAGAATCCTTTGGAGAGCTTTTGAGTATATGATTCCCAATGAACCCATCGGAAATCGAAGCCACACACCCAGACCTTTATACAGAAAATACCTTGCCATCACTGAAAGAAATTAGAGGCTGAACGAAAGGTTTGGTAAATTCTCCAACTCCAGACGAATGAGCTAGTCTTCGCAAGAATGGATATGATACTGACCAGATCGTGAAGTTTTGGGTCGCTATTAAACAATCAACTGAATAGAACTTATCACCTTATATCTACTTTCTTGGTTATCGGGAGGCACTCGGCAGTATGGGTCAGAAAGCTTTGACGAGTCCTCTCATGCACTACAAAGTAATCGAGGAAACCACCAATATCATAAGGAACTACCACAACAGACTGAACTGTAAGTTATGGCGGTAAATAAATATCCAAAATGAATAGTCCTGTAAGTCTTCGATATTGGTAGGGACCTTTTTAGCTTTACTGAACATACCTAGCTGTAAGCGTTCGTCCATGAATCCTCACTAGATCATAAGTGGGTACGCTGTGCTACGCTTCCCCTTGCAAGTGTTAGCTAACTTAGATCAAACGCTTCTCGACATCTGAATAGCCTTCCAAATATATCTCCGAATCCCTTCATTCCTGACTTCTGATTCGACCATACAGGTATACTTCGACTATAAAAGTGTTATGCGTAAAGGCGTTGTCACACTGCGATTATCTGTGGCATTTTTAAAGTGGTGTATGCAGACCAGCTCACAAAAACACTGGACAATGCTACCATTTTTCATCCTTTATCATTTTGTATGCCAACTGGATTATGAAAGCTTCCACATGTCAGAGAGATCATGGACTATAGAGGATACCTTGAAGGGAGCCGAAAGATTCGAACTTTGTTGATGACTTGACCTTCATATCACATACACATCAACAAGTGTAGATAAGGACAGTAAGTGTAACAATGGATAAAGCAGAAATATGAGTCGACATTCACATGGAATAGAGCAAGATCGCGATATGTAATATAGTGAGCATCAACGGAGTCACACTTGAAAAGGAAGATCTGAAAGATGCGGAAGACTTCACACATACATGAAGCACCACTGAGAGATAAGAAAGACCTCATTCAGATATGAATGCGCGAGCTGATGAACAATAAACTTATCAGTCCTTTCATAGTAGACCTTTTGTAGATTGCGGGAAGTCGAGTTTACGATAGCATGCAACATCATCAGGCTGTAAACGTTCCTAATTTGGAATAAATTTTTGTTTAGGCAATTTTGTTGCTGTTTCTGATGCATACGATCTGGTAATTCCGCAATGAAATCATTTACCTACTCTTCGGATTTTTGAATTTTGCGGCAGTAGTAAAATTGGTGTCTGTGTTTCTAGGTGCTGAAACTTCTTAGCTGTGTATTAGAATGAGAGGTCTCTGGAGCCATGTGTAATTTTTCACAATCAAATTCCATAGTTAACAAGTCACCAAGACACATGAATTACGCAAATGAAATCTACCAGAGGATAAATATTTACCAAACCTGTTCTCAAGTTTGTAACCTGCTTTGCAACTCCTAGGTGAATTATCTCCAAGGATTATCGTTCATTGACTCCTTGACATATTACCTTGAGCACTTATCGGATCGGGACAACTAAGTTATGTGGTAGGATTCTTGATATCATGGAAGTTAACTTCATGCACTGCGTCGTAACTAATACAAGCAGTTCTAGCTCCTTGAAAGAAACACTTCGGCGTTTGTATAAGCTCCCGTTCCAGATTTGTCATGGTAATTCCTGAGACCGATCGATCACACAGATGTGCACGGAGTTGATCACGAAGCCTACACTTGGCGGCTTGTTTCTGCAATTCAATAATAAATCCTCTGAACTCCTGGTTGTTCCGACGAATCAATTTATGAATTTTCGCTTTTTCATTGGATTCGAAATTTTTTAACTATACATGATTTGCCAGTAGCTCTTTGAGGGTGACGTAGTGAAGTGAAATAGACTTATCTGGAAACGTCGAATTTTTTAGCAAGCTGCGGGGCATCTTTCCAAATAAATGCAATGAGATGAACCACAACTTTGTCTTCCTTAACATCTTTTCTAGTCATACTCCAGACTTCAAATATTTCCATTTATTCCTCGAAAGCTTCAGCATTTGAATGCATTTTCAACTGTCCGGTCACATGCTTCATTGAGACACCAATACAATTTGAATCGGCTTGCCAACCAAGAATTCCGAAATGGTACACTTTGATGCAAGTAGAACAAGTTAAGCACATCTGAATCTACTATATGTATATATATATATTGAATATAGATATTGAATCCGCAATGCGCGAGCAATCAAGTATTAAGGATTTGTCAGTTAGTGAAAGTATATCAGAATCATTTTGACAACTGAAGAATGTTTGAAGTTCAAAAAGACTGTCATCTAGGACCAAACTCGAGATCTTCTGCTCTAACATCAAAACGGTTGTGTTGTGTGTAGCGGAAACTTGAAGAATCCCCATCACCATCGTCAAGAGTGCTGGTATTCATAAACAGCTGTTTACACGACATTCTGCTGATGAGATAGTGAGACACCCTCAACAACAACAACAACTTATCTTTCTAAGTGATAAGTCTAATATAAACTGTGAATGAAAGTAGAAAAGATTCTGGAAACGGATACTACACACCTAACGGAAACCATTAAATTGGATTTCCATGTAAGTTATAACTTGAAATTCTCAAAAGTAATAGAAAAAAGTGGAATCAAACTCCTTATAGTTGAAAATTGGAGGTTTCATTATGGCCATGAATAACATTTGGGAACAATAAGAAGAGTTTAGGACTGAGTGGGGTAGAGATTCTCTGTTGAACGCCCATGTCCTAAGAGAGGCAGCAAGCCTCTATACGTAAGGAGGTTAGTAAATGAACCTTTTGTTGGGTGTTTCATGAATTATGATAAACTTAAAGTGAAATATACCTTTAGTTGCCTGATATCAAACAAATCTACTTGTTCAGATGAAACCCACCTGAGAGCCATAAAAGTTTCCGAATCTGTTTTGCCTTCCATTTGTTATCATTATCGGGAGTTCCTTTTCAGGGATAAACTACCTTTTGGAAGATGAGTATAACTGTACCTTTGTGCAAAGTGTGTAACGATGTAAGAGCCCACAACTTCATGTCGTTTTCCTTGTCCTCTGCGGTTACAGAGGGTTACAAGGGAAACCTACAAATAAATCAGTGCTATTAGTATATGGACATAGTTTTCCTGAGCGCAGATTATACCATTAGAACATACTAAACCTTAAAATAGATATATATTTTCACTGGAACATAATCATTCGGAACAAATAGGCACACTTGGATATCTGACGAGACGATTGTTAAACTGCTCATATAGGGAAATCATAAGAAATCAGGGTTAGCTTTAATTTGTTTGATTTTTCAATCATGGCAAAGCGAATGCTGAAAAGTTAGATTGTCGAACTATTTCTATCGTTAGTTATCAAAGACTCACCCTAGACACTGAACTCTGCTATAATCATGTAGTCTTGAAATTCTGAGAGAAATACTAAGCTCTGCTGAATAGCTATCGTTTCAAAAGGAGACGTATAAAATACACAAGTTCAGAGTCACTTTTTCCTAGTCGATAGGATATTCGTAAGTAGAAACACCACCTAGTCCTCCGTTTAGATGACAATTAAAGTTCGTTGCAAGTGAACCTAAATATTTCGTCGTACAGAAACACGGATGCGCAGAATAATTCAGTATTGACAGGCTAGATCCGGATGATCTAGATAAGGAACCACTATATGTGGTATAAAATCATTTGCCTGAAATGATGACTATAGAATCATCAAGGAACGATGATAATGATCCATACATTACCAAAACTTTCTGACGGAAAAGACTGATTACCTATGCTAAAATTTCGCCTACTTAAAATCTTCCTCAATGTGTGAATTAAAAAACGTCAATCCTTTTACTTATATTTTGTAGATGTTTAAAACGCAAAGCAATAGTATCCATGTAAACCAGTTCTTCATGTTCTACCGATTGGGATATTACAGATATATTATTTTTTATTAATAACAGTCTACACAATGTTTAATTTACTTGTAATTATCAAGTCGATCCTTGGTAACGACACCTGATGACTCAGTAATAATCAGTTGTCTATTTCTTTATTATGCATTGGCACTACATTTTCTGCTTTTCTGTGTGTAATGAAGTGTTTGTGTTTTAATTAGCTGCCTCGCATCCCACACGTTCCACTGGTTTAGTAATAAAGTAGACCACTAATACCTTGGAGTTTTAATTCCTTTATGTTGGCTGCTTGTATCTTTT